GTTATGGGGTATCCTATTTATTATTTTCGGATTTTTTTGTTTGCCCCATTGAAGCATTTCTATTAATATAACTGATTAAGTGGTCAAACTCATTCCATATCAGCAGAATAGTGTGGTACTACAGAAAGTCTATGTCCATAAAACAGGTTCTGAATGAATTATGTTACTGATACCTAATGGTCAAAAGCAATAGCAAAAGTAATAGGTCGATATTATTAAATTGCAGACAAAGATTTTGAATAGCTAGGAATGGTCAAAAGCAATAGCAAAAGTAATAGGTCGATATTATTAAATTGCAGACAAAGATTTTGAATAGCTAGGCTGGCTTGCACACTATATTGCCAAAAGTATTGGGACACCCCTTTCTAATGAACAGGTTTGACTACTTTAGTAATTTCCATGAGTACAAATCTTAATGTTTAAGCATATAATGCTATTCTAAGGAATTGTGTGCTTCTAATTTTATACCAATAGTTTGAACAGGTTCAAACACAACAATGCATCTGTGTATAAGGCAAGGTTAAAAAAAAAGATTGATTGAGTCAGTGTGGAAGAACTTGACTGGTCTGCAGAAAGCCAAGTCCTAATCCCAGCTGAACACCTCTGGTGTGACTTTAAATGCAGACCTTGAGCCAAAAACTCATCACCAAACACCAATGATTTGTACGTACATATGGACAAATGTATTGGGACACCCCCTTCTTTAGAACAGAAAAAGGCACTTCCAAAAACTGTGGCATCAAAGATGGAAACATAATTAATGTATTTAAAAATTGTATTTCCATCTTTGTTGCCACAGTTTTGGAAGTGTCTAAAATTATTGTACGCATATGTACAAGTCATTGGTGTTTGGCGATGAGTTTTTTTTAGTTTTCCCAATACTTTGGGCAATATAGTGTATGTTTGGTGCGGTAGGGGGCCCAACCTCATATTCTTTCATAGGGCCCAAAATTGCTAGCGGCGCCCCTGGTCACAGTGAATATGTTTCAGTGACTTTATGCCTAGAATAAATCTGATGTAAAAAAACAGAGTTGAAATATTGAGATTGACAAGGCTGACAACATGTTAACAACAGTGCAAACAATGAAATTAAAAAGACTGTAAAAGAAGCCTACCTGATGATTTCATCTTCAGATATGATGCAGAGATTATTATTACCACAGTTGGAAATGACACAGCATAACTCTGTTGAACAGAAAGTAAGGGATTCATAATGATTATTTTATTTATTTATTTTAATGCAAAAATGCATAATGGCAATGAAAGCATGACATTTTAATTCCAATAAAAGCAGAATGTTGGCACATTATTATTATTATTATTATTATTATTCAGTATAACCAGTTGACATTTACTGAGGACAAAACTGAATGATAATACCATGTGAAAACATTTAAAAGTGAAACGTTTTTCTTCTTCAGCATTACACACAAGAAAGAGTTCGATATATCAAATAATGTGACTAAGATCAGCATCCTGTTAATTATATCAGAAGGCAGACATGAGGACACAAATGAAGCCATTTCCTGAGAATGAGTCACTGATTATGCTAGCAATTGTCAGTTGAAGTGAATTTGTCTCTGTTTCCTGACAGAAACTCCTGCGCCTGCACTCTGTGGGAAGGGTGAGTTTACATGCAGCACTGGAAAGTGTATAAGCATTAACCTCCGCTGCAATTTCTTCAATGACTGTGAGGACTACGGCTCTGATGAGATCAGCTGCAACAAGAAAGGTGAGTTATTTGTTTATTTGTCAGGGTTTTTTTTGTCAAAACTAAAAGATTGAGGGTCACTGAGTACGTGTTTGTGTTGTTCTGTGTCTCTGAACAGATTCGGGTCTAAATGAATGCCGTAACAACCGCAGTATGTGTGGAGATGAAGGTCACTGTGTGGTGAACAGAACCGACTCGTTCTGCTCCTGCAAACCCGGCTTCCAGAAAACACACCTGCAAACCTGCACAGGTACCGGTACAGCACACACAATAAACGGCTATTAATACATAAACATGCTCTTCTATAGCTGATAAAACTTTAAACCCTTGTATTGCTTTAGTAACTAATGACAGGTTCAAACAAAAGAAAGCACAAGGAATTTACTTTCAATCTCCTACAGATCACATATTCTTTAGGGATTATTAATCAAACACCAATAATGACAAGAAAACTAGAGCACAGCTCAATTAATCCTCTAAAAACAACCATAAACACAAAATTAGGATTAAAAAAAGAACCCCTTTTTCTTGTATCTATTACAAACCTGCTCCTGCAACACCAAACCAAACCAGCAGAATCAAACCAGAATGAATGCATCATATAGTCATTCAGCAGAGGCGATTGTGAAATTCACTTTATGCATCTAATGTTTTTGTGCCTGTCCGTGTTGTCATTATTCTCTCTCAACAGATGCGAACGAGTGCAAGCAGTTCGGGATCTGTTCTCACATCTGCAACAACACTAAAGGCTCTCACAAATGCAGCTGCTCCAAGAACTTCATCAAAGTGAACGACACCTGCAAGGCTGACAGTACGTTTCAAACTAATGCTGCAGTCAGTCAAGCCAAGTCTATCTGTACCGGTTTTCACAATACATATTGTTTCAAGGCAGTTTTTCAGAAAATCCTGATGTTAATTATTAAAATATCTTCATATCTTAATATCAATATCATAATATACTCTTAATATCTGCCTTATAGTCATATTTAGCAGATCTGAACTGATCGATAATATAGATTATTTGCAACAATATAAAGTTATATAAGGTTTATAGTATATATATATATATATATATATATATATATATATATATATATATATATATATATATAATATTATATAT